ATTTGTTAAATTTGTTTCTCGTACTTGTAATATCCCTTCCAATTATATAAGTCTTCCTACTTTAAGTTCTAGACTAAATTACCTTGATTCTCTCTTTTTTTTATAATTGCGTTAATGGAATTTATGGTTCTGATCTTATTTCCGATTTTGTTTTATCTGTTAAAACTTATCGATGTCGTAATTCTATCTGTTCCTTATTCAATGTTAAATTTTCTCGTATTAATGCTGTCTCTTATACACATCTAGATGTGTATAAGAGACAGCTGTTAGGGTATTTATTGTCATTAAATTGGTGGGGCATGATTGCTAATGAATATGATTATGAAATTTAAGTGACACACTCAACGTACCAACCAAATACAAATACATTTTATATATACAAAGATTATTTAATGATCAGAATAATTCTGACGAACTTAGCTAAGTTAACCACTTTACTTCACTTCAAAAGGAAAGTTTTGCAATCCAAAGCTCTATTCAAATTTTATGAAAATAATTGTGTGGTTTGCCCATATACAGGCATGATGATGCCATTCAACCCGTGTATAGGAATGATATTGTCATATCACACCCACATATAGGCATGGTGATGTCCCATCACACCCATATATAAGCATGATGATGTCATACCACAACCCATATAGCCTACGGTCAAATCATGACCTTTTGTCACTAACACTTGATATTGTGAGTAGAACTTTACAATAACAAAACAATACATGAGAATGGACTGTCGTGCCTGAGCGGTGGCGGCGCCAGCAGAATACAAAAACTTTATTAGTCCAAAAAAAGGAAATTTGTTTTGTTGACAAGCTCAAAAGGGGCAGAGGGGCATAACCCCAACCATCGGACAAGTCAAGCGTCAAGAACCTCCCACCCACCGGCCGAGCTCGTCGGGCAGTTGGACCAAAAAAAATTAATTAAAAATAGGCCCACACCAAGCCAAAACATGTCTTTCACAGTCGTAGAATGCCATTTCCGGTCATCCAGAGGTCCTATCTATAAAAAAAAAAAATCTCACTCCCTGTCCTCAGGCATACAAGCTTAAGTCTCCCTATCGGACAGCTTAGCTCCCCCAGAAAATGTATAATAGAGCCGCCACTGCGCTTGAGACAACTATGGTATATATGAATTAATATATGAATTAATACGGTAATATATATGTGTACATCGTGCCAGACCGAACATCTGGGGCATTGATACTAAGATCTCACAAAATGACAGCGTAAACGTATGTACAACAGTGGCGGATCCAGGGGGTGGGGCATGAGGGTCCGTGCTCCCCCCTCCCGCACCCCCGCCATCAGTCATACCAAAAAATAAAAAAGAGTGAGAAAAATTTGAGTTATTATTATTTGCCACTTATTTACACCAAACATGGTGGGGCTGAGGTGGGCGTGGCGGCAAGAACTTCATATTGTGCCCCCTCGTCAGAAATCCTCTGGATCCGCCACTGGTACAACACGTTGTGCGTCTGTGAGACGTGTTTATTTCTGACCCTGTCCTACTTAGTTATTTATTAAGTTTGTTTGACACTCTGGTAGGGTACATTGAGGAGTCTTCAAATACTGGGGACTTTTACAAAAACAAAAAAAAACATCTGCAGCGTGTGAAATATCGATGTGATATATTCATTGTCATTTTGTATAGCTGTGTTCACACGTCCAAGTTTCATGTGACAAATATATTTAATTGTATAGGGCTTGTGATATGATATGACATGATCATGCCCAATATGGGTGTGATAAGACATCACTATGCCCATATATGGACAAATCACACTAGCTTAAAGCTTTGTCCACACACTATCAAATTTTCTCTGACAAAAACCGTTGTATGCCCATATATAGTCATGATGTGCCCATATATAGTCATGATGTGCCTATACATGGACATGATGTGATGTCATCATGGCCATATTTAGGCATGCCAAATGTATTTGTCAAATAAAATATCTGGACAGGGTTTTACATGTTTAGACAAAGAAATTTATATTGCAAAACATCCATAGTTAACAAATCAACTTAATAGTATCATTTGGATTAACAGGTTCCAATATTTATCCACAAAATAAAATATCTATCATTTATCTGACATCCACAAAATAGCATAAAAAATTTATATTAGAAAGTAACTTTATTAATTAACTTAAGAATGTGATTATTTAAGCAACTCGTCCCTGGTTCCCCTCAGTAAATCCCTGTGAGACGAGTTTACTTGTCGCTGCCAGCCAACATATTAACATGATGTATATACATGACAATTACTATGTACTTATTAAATATGAATGGTATTTATTAAGTAAGTATTTCTTTTTGTAGATAATAACATGTATTAACAAAGAATGTTTCTGTTATAAATATAACCAAATATGATACAGTAATTGCTACAAAGTTATAGTAAAGCATACTGTAAAATTATAATAATTTCTCATCATTAATTCCATTTTATTGGCTGTTTTTAGTTCTAGGTTTAACATTGGCCGTATTCAACTGGTCGTCCTTTGTTAAAACACGCCTGCCTGAGCAGTGCTAAAATTCTACTTTAAGTCCACCAGACAAATAGAAAACTAGCAAATACTTAAATCGCTGTGTAGTTACAGCGATACATGCTAGAGTAGTCATGGTTGCTCTGGCTTGTGGTAGCTGGATTTTATCATAAACAAATATTTTTTAGGTAGTTTTCAATTTGGTTAGCCTACAATTATTTTTTGATTTTATATGTTATAATTATTATTTTCTGAAATTTAATCTAAATTGCATTATTAACACAAATGTTTTTGCTAAACTGACCAATCAGTTTTCTTTGTTTTGGTCACCTGGATAAATTATTGCAAATTAACGCACAATTGTTTACGTTTATTTAAGTCTATTTTACAAACCAGCCGAATGAAAACAATATTAAACCAAAAATCGCTGACAATGAAATGAACCGGTTGAATATGGCCAATGACACACCACAAATACTATACAAACTGTCATTAAATTATTAGACCAAAAAAAATGTTATGTGTGTTAAATGTTAGTCTAAGTCCTTCAACACTGCCATCATACAGTTGCCTGGAGAAACTTTGCAAATAATTTCTAATAGAAGGCGCTACAAGCAATTTTCAAATGTTGACTGTGTTTCAAACACTTCTGAATACTGGATATCATTACGAACAGACAGTAGGCAGGCGATTCAATACATTTCTCTGACAACCCAAAACTCGTATCTGATAGTTGGCGCTGTGTAGAGTTTTTTTTAATGGCTATTGCATGAGGTGTGGTGACATTTTTTATGGAATATCATCGATTCGTAGTTGCTGGTGCTATAACCGGCTCAACCTGTTCACCACTGAAGCCTTCCTTGGGAAGACTCTAGGAAAATAAACGAAAGACGTTCACATTAAATCAAGTACTCAGAAATGTTATTCATTTAAAAATATAATAATTAATAAACAACAAATTATTATGGTTAATCGATTCCTTGTTATTAACATCTGAATAGATGAACATAGAATGATATGCCCACTATATTCAGTGAAATGCAAAGTAAATATAAATTCAGTAATTAATAATTGTAGCAAGAATCATAAATAATTTATTAAATATATTTATTTTGAATAACATATGTTAATTAAGTACATTAAAAATATAACAAAAATATATAAATTGAACAGTATTACTGAAATATTTCTGCAGACAAATTTTAGCAAAAATAATAAAGTAACACAAAAGAAAATAAATATCAACATCAAAAAAATGCATAGCTTTTTAATTCTAAAAGAAGTTAATAAGAAAAAACATGGTACAATAACAGTAATGGTCATTTTTCTATAGCGCTTTTTTTAAAACAAAACTTAGTCTTGAGGCAATGTGAAAAAAAAAAATGCTAAAAATACAGAAAATACTTATACAACCAAAAATTCAAAAGAAAGAAATATTAGCAAAAAGAAAATCAACAACTTTGTTTCTGTTAGTTCTGAGAAAAAATAATGAAATAAAAGATTAAGATAATATAATTTATGTTCATGATCGCCAACCAGGAATCAGAGCAAAGAAAACAACATTTCAAGGTGAGAGAAGAGCATGTAACAAGTGCAAACATGTTGCAACATCTACTTGGAAACATGAGAAAAGTAACAAAACAAACCTAAACAATTATTAAAAGATGGGAAAAGGTAATTTAATAATTAATTAATTTCTTCTTATCAAATCCACATTAGCTTTGAAAATGCACTTTAATAATTTAACAACTAAATAGACAAAGATGTGTTACCATTATGTTGTGAATCTGTGAGAGGAATGACTTAGTTGTGTGGGACTTTTCAAATCAATACAAACTGATAATCAAATTTCAGTTATCTAAATTTCTGATAATAATCAATTTTTATGTGAGGGAAATATTAAAATTTCCTATAATAAATATGAGACGAAATTACAGATAGTTGACAACAAAATGATTAGGTTTTGACAAAAGGAGTATTTTGGTGGGGTTTTTTTTAAAGATGATATTTTGGGGCAGATAATGTTCTGTTCTATTGTTCTATGTTGTAATAAATTGTATGAAATAAATATATAATTTATTTCACACTGGCTTTGCATATTTGTTTTTATGTAAAGTTTTTTATGTACTGCCTAAACATTTTTAGAAAGTATATAAAAATAATAATAAATGAAATGTTGAATATTGAGAAGCTGATAAAAAAAATGATATGAAGTTAATGTCAAATGACAGACAGTATGGATTATAAATATGAATAGAATCATGAAATAACGAAAACACAACTCAGAACATAGAAAATGAAATAATAACTCAAAGCCTATTAGATCTCATATTTTCTGCACAAACAATGGGTACTAAGCAAGGGACATGCGACCTCTCACCTCCATTGCCTGACATATCGGAGAACTGCACGCAACGAAAAAAGCAGAGAGATTACACGTAATGGGTTGGAATGGGCAGGAAATGACAGGTCACATGATCATCAAATTTAAAACCATAAAACTCTATTCAGACTATACAATTTTCTTTGACAAAAAAAACTAAAACTGTTGTATGACCATATATAGTCATGATGTGACCATATATAGTCATGATGTGGCTATATATGGTCATGATGTGATGTCATCATCACCATATTTGGCTTGTCACATGTTTGTTGTCAAATAAAATCTGATAGTCTGCATAGAGCTTCAGTACATAACTTCTACCATGCTTGATAATGATAATGGCGGTAATAATAATGCTTACGGTAGAGGATAAGTTTGTAATAATGTTGATATTAATGGTTACAAGGTCCAAATAAATTTGTTGTACTGCCCACGCATGGTGACATTTGAAAACCAAAGTATGTAATATTACCGGCCAAGGTCTAATTCTAGAAATTCTAAATGTTATGATTCTTTGGGTCTATTAGGCACTGGCAACGCAGAGTTGTTTATTTTTTTCTTAAATGATGTTATATTAAAATGATAGTGGTGTTGCTAGTAGTTGTCTAAATAATCAAATAATTTACAACGATGATAATTATGATAATGAATTACTGTGTAATGATTTGTAGTGATGATAACAATGACCTATCTCAAAATAAGACATTAAATTAACTTTTCATTGAGACTCTTTTTCAAGTCCTTTTCTAAATAAACGCAATTTTTTTTTAAATGTGTCTATATATACTAAAGGTGGTTCACATGTTGGAGTGGAGAGGATAGAGGTGACCAAGGCCCCCCTACATTTTGTGAAATTTAAAAAAGAAAATATGAAAAAAAAAGAAAACTGTTTCAAATTAAGTTTAAGGGTGCCGTATCCAGCCTCCTAAAAGTGTTGAAGACATAAGATTTTGTACTTCATCCCTAACCAAGGTGGGCCAGTGTAGTCTAGTCTCCCCACCTGTAATGTATACAATTATAATTATTCAGTATTATTATAGTATGACACTGAGGGTGCTCCAATATCAAAAGGAAATTGTGATACTGAATGTGGCTTTAAATGCAGTTTGTAGATTTCATAACACACTGAAAGGAAAATTTTGAAAAGCAAATTCAAATACTTATTTATGTACTTTCATAAAAGGTTTACAAAACAATATATACACATACATAAAAGATATTCTTTGCAAATAAACCAGTTTATCTTTAATCTAGAACATATTGAAACTAGATGAAAGTATTTGATCAAATTATGCACATGACAAACACAACATACCTTAACATGCACTTGGTTCTTAAGCATTGCAGATCGCATAATCAATGCCTGAAACAGATAGTGTAAATGATATAAAAAATGTTATAATATGGTTATAATGTTTATATAATTCTATTCTATTCATATTTCTGTAGGATATAAAATACGTCTCTAAGAGCAACTAACAAACAATAAATTTCCAACAGAAAAGATCATCCTTAATCAAGCCCTTAAAAGCCCCTAAATGCTACTTTATGAGCATGGCTGGCCATGGACTCCCTGGAGCTCTTTTGCCCTTGGTACAGCTTTTATTTTCCTTGCTGCTTAGAGATTATCCACCCTCCTACTAAATAAGGTTACCAGTGTTAGTTGCAAGCAGGTCGACTAGTCATACACCAAACATTTAAATTACAGCTACACACAATTTGAACTAGCTTAAACTTCGATAGAGTCTCATTTCCATTCTTTTGAGTAAATTCATTTGGAATTATAATATAATAATTATTAAATTAGTTCAAAAACAAATAAGTATGATGTTACAAGAATACCGAAAGGAAGTTGCAAAATTTGAATTGAGACCCTTCAGCTGTTCAACTAGTCTATTCATCTTCATCAGAACAATTTAAATCTGCAATTACTGAACAAGTTTGCCACACAAATCATTCTATTGATTGGGAACGATCCCATGTCAATGACAAAGAATCTGACAAATCTATTAAATGGCTTAAGGAGTCTATTTGGATTCGCAGGAGGGGAAAAACTACACTCAACAAGGACAAGGGGGCTTACAAACTCAATCACATCTTTGATCAACTCTTCGTGCCGTCTATGGCAATTCCTTCAAGTTTTAAAAGCAGTAGGAAAAAGATGAGTTGCCAGTCTGATGAAACCACTAGGTTAGTGGTGGTGAAACGTTACTGAATATAAGTGAGTAACATTATACTTTTTCGTTTTTGGAGTTGAAAAAAAAGAACTAATTTAATAATCATGAGTCTTGTTTCCTTTTAAAGAAATTCACTGCTTGCAAAAATATTAAAATGTAGAAATGTTTGCTATCCCTCAACGGAGGAGTCAATGTTTCAAGAATTATTATTAATTATAATTATTATGATGATGAAGATGGTGATGACGATAATGATGAATCATAATGATCATATTGTTTTTCAGTTGTGGATTAAAGTCTGCTACAGATAAGTATCCCACGTCAAAACTTTATTACAAGATGAATTACAAAAACCTATTTACCTTTGTCCTTCGCTGGAAAGCCTTTCCCATGGCAAGTGACTTTTCAAAAGTTGAACTGCGCTGATCGACATCTCTCGCATACAATATCTACAAGCAGAAATGATTCTCGGAAAAATGATCTTAACTATCTGAATATCAAATTGGCAAGACTTAAAAAAGTGAACATTTATAGAATTATACATCACACATACAATACTGATTGTCATGTGGATTGCGTACCTTATTATGAGAGTCAATGCGTGCATTAATGAGGCCATCGAGTATGAGTTGCATCAGCTCGTCCTCAAGATCGCTGACCGTCGAGTTGAATGCGGTAGCCATTTTACGCATGTCTGCTGATACATACGGACTAAAATACTATATTAAGGACCAAGAAAAATTAATTTGTTAAAAAAAAAATCTTATATTTCAGTGGTAAGTGCTAAGCTTAGGCTCAAATATCATGGCCTAAAATTGGTCTCCAACAAAAAGGCCTAAAGTCTATACAACCAACAAAGGCTTTGGTATAGATATATTCCCTGAAATCAGCAGGGGTCCCCTAATTTACAGGATACTGGCACGGTCTCCCACACTGATACATGCAAACAGAATACTCTACAAAAAGTAACTCATCTCTTGCAAATTCATAACTTTTGAAGGTTTCTGCTACAGCACTGTCCCGGCAAACACCAAACGTGTTTATAAGGTCTGTGAACGTTGTGGTTAGGTACGTCACAAAATATTGTTCATACGACGTTGCACAACGAGCAAAAGTTATGTATTTGAGAAATTATGCTTTAAGAACGTATTTATGTTTCTAACAATTAAAGTTTTCAACCCAAAACTGTAACGTTATTATGTTCTTATAACGTAATGTCGTCATCTGGGGTATTATCAAATGTCTCTGCCTATCTGTAAGTATCACCATACACTAACAAATAACATTAGACGTAATTTGTTAAATAACAACAAATAACATTAGATATGTTATAAAAGTATTAAACCAGATCTCTTAAAATTCGCTTTTCCAAATATGGGAGCTTTGAATAAAGCTAATAACAGGCACTTTACGCAAGAGGACAGGGAGCCGTCGAGAAAAGCAATTCGATTTGAGCGCCCTATTATTTACTGCGGTCTTCACGCTCTGATGAGCACAAAATCACCGTCCACCCGTCTTACCGTCCTGTTGCGTAAAGTGCCTATTATCTATCTATGCGTGGTACCCATCCTTACCTGGATCAGGGCACGATTTCTGATTTGTGAGTATAGCGTATTCAAATGAGGTGCTAGGTACATATCCAATAAGAGGTTGTCTTTGATCGACGCAAGAAGCTTGAGACAAGATGCATACTTTGATTCGTAGAACATCAGAATGATGTCACGTAACTGTGGCTCCAGCTCGAGGAATAGCTTAAAAGAACTGTAAATTATAAAGACAAAGTAAATTTGATATAATTGTAGCCTAAATAGAAATGCGGTTGGAAAGATTGCAAAATACAGAAAGTAGCCCAGCCTATTTGATAATTCTTTTATTTCTTTTTTACAAATGTATATCTAGATAGTACTATAGTACTGTAGGCCTGACATTGACAAGGTTGATGATGGAATGAGGCCACAGTTTATATTAAATAAAGGTAAAGGTAGGAGAATAGCCCATAACTTGCAGTAGTTCTAACTCCCTTGGTAAAAACAAAGGTGAAGACCCTGAATTGAAACTGCTATGCCAAACTATCCTTCACAGGTGGCTTGTCAATCAAATATCGTCTTCATATGCTTCTAGCATGTATTCTGATGTTCATAATTCTATTTTCTTTTTAGTCAGTTTTATTGATATCATCTTAATAAGAGAATTTTATATTTATAGACTACATTCTATTTTGTAGCAGCCTGAGAGAGTTGTGGAATATCAATATCACCAACATACCAGGACTTGGTAGTGATATGCCAAAAGAAATAACATTTCAAAAATCAAAGAAATCCTGCACATACCTACTAGAGATGACATTCTTCTGTAACTCCTGACGGTCAAACGATGCTAGCGCACATAGTCCACCGTATATAGCAACATTACTCGCAGACAACATCTAAAACAGATTTTTTTTTTAAATATATAAATTCCATCCTTCTGTGAAATTCATGTTTGTAAGATATTTGAAATTTAGTTATTTATATATTTTATTTATATTATATTTTATTTTATTCCGATGCATGAAGAAATAAATACACTCCAGAAAAATGGCAAGGAGGGCATATAAATAGTAATGCTAGTGTTATAAGGCACTTCATACAAAGGCTCCAACATGTTTCATTTTATTTTTATTTTTTGAAAAAATCTATTTCAAGTTTATATAAAGAAACATATTATTTGTGTTTATCATAACATAAGTAACCTATACTGTGTAAATAATACAGATTTCCCTCTAATTAAGGACCCTTCCAATGAAAAACCACCTCCAACAAAAAGACCAATAAGTAGTTATTTTAAATTTGGTGGTGCCTGTTATGAACAAGAATAACCATATAAACCAAAAGATCTACACACAACCACATTCAGCACACTGGTTGAGTATGCCATGCTGCTGTAGCTATCAATCATTGGATTTACATTTTAACCTACCAGGTACAGTGGGTGGCAACAATGTGCATGAAGCACCTTGCTCAAGGGCACACACATGTTGCCAGCTTGAAACTTGAACTCTGACCTCACCACTGAAAAACCCTAAGCTTTTACTGCAGTAACACATGCCTTTAATGTTGTGTTCTACAATCATCATCAATGAAGAAGAGGCACTATACAAGTAAATGTACATAACACTTACTGATGGAAAATCGCAATAATCGAAAGGCGCCTGAAGGAGATACTTGGCAGCTGATTTGTACTTCTTGTTCGCTAGCTCCGCCAATCCTGCCGAACATTTTAAGATTGCAACTATCTTCTGATTATCTTTCGATTCTCTCTGTGAAACAAATCAATAATTCAATAAATATATTTGTCAGTTTGTATTCTTCTATATTGATTTTGCATCCTGAGTACTAGAAGGCGATATATAAATGCTGTTGTTGTTGATAGCATCCTTTATTTACGTTGGTTTTGTCAGTTGTAGATGTTATATTAAGGAGCTTTCGATTGTATGGTTGTTATTATTGACCTTTGACATATTGGCAGTTACATTAGATCAGGTCAGGTTCTACCTGCTACTGGTAACCATGTAAACCAGTACTACCCGTTCATGGTCGGATGGTCGGCCACTAAACCGGCTCACCCACCTGGGGCAACTTTGGTGAGGAGGGTGTGTGAACCCCCGGCAGGATTAAAATTAAGATCTGTTTAAGCATGGATGAGTTCATGGGGAACCAAGGGTCATCCATCCTTTTCCCTAGGGTGATGGGTTAGTGGTATGCCAGTCAAAAACAAATACTCCAATAGCGAAATGATGACACAAGTGTCATCATGGCATGAAAGTCAGTAACCCTTCATAAGAGCGAAAATGCTGACTTAAATAAATGACAGTAAGGATTAAATTATGGAATGAGTTGCTTACTTCTGACAACTCTGGCGTAGCTTCTGCTTTGTTGACGTAACTTAAAACATGTGACCAGTTCTGCAGGTGAATACTGACCTACAACAAAATGTAATCGTAAACAAGTTAATTTTTAATTTTATTCATTTGAATTTACTTGGTATAAAAACCTCACATCAATCCAAAAACCAATCCTGTGAGTTTACCTAATAACAAGCATGAAAACACATAAATATTAAAACAACCGTCACAAAAAGCGCAAATTTAATAACAGACCATACATTATTAGCATCCTTTTGAGGGAGGTGAGGGGTTTGGCAGTCATTTTCAACTGGAAATTAAAAGTATTATTTTGATAAAATTTTTAAAATAGAAAAATTACCTTTATGACATTGAGACACATGTTAACTATGTGTTTTGCACTCGTACAGTAATCTCGTGCTCTTGAGTAACACTTGAGGGCATTGCTGAGGTCACCTTGGTCAAGATAATGATCCCCAAGGTCATCATGCCCCCTCCTGAATATAATACAATAAAAAAAAACAAAGACAATTTGTAAAAATATGAATATATATGAAAGTGTTGGTTGGTAACCACTAGTCCTTACATTTGCGCTGAACCATAGAAAGATATTTTGTTATTTTCTGCGATCTGATCTAACAAGCAATTGAATCAGTCAAACGACAATGGTAGATGAGTAACTGTATGGGGCCCAGGATATTAATCAGCCTTTTTTTTTGCAGAACTATGGGCCCTAGTATCATCTTCAAATACCTGGTCAGATTCTGACGTTGGCAATCATATCTTTGAAACTGACTCTATTATTGACGGCATGAATGAGATCCATCTCCCTTGCCCAGTTGACAGTATTACATCTAAACACTTTTTTCTTTGCCTTCCCCAAGCTCTGGTTCCCTCTATTTACCTTCTATTGTCAGTTTTTCTAGACCATTCTCATGGATACCCTAAGAATCTTAACTGCCTTTGTGCAATCACTTAGTATGGTCCGTTAAAAAGAACATGTACTGTAACCAAAATTCAAATTACGACCTTAAAAAGCCAAAAATGTTGATTAAACAAGGGATTAGCACTATACCCCCAAGGTATTAAGGCCTGAGGAAGAACTTACCAGGGGCCTCAGGCCTCTTTGTTATGCCAGTCATGACCAGAATCCCAAAGCTTGAACAATTACCACATGTTTAAAGTGTCGATGACAATAGTTTATCATCTAATTACCATATTGTTCCAATGCCTACCTTATGCTTTCTTTGATTGAGTTTGTTTTATAGTTCTTTAAGTCGGAGTCTAACTTCTCAAGCTTAAGGGCGGCGCTTTTATTTGTGGCTTCCACCCACTGCGAGTCGAGAGGGGGAACGTTGTGTAACGCACCGGCAACTGCGTCAGGTAAAATTGATGATCCAGATCTGTAATTTAAAATAAACATCAAAATTATATTATTATTATATACGAATAGCTTAATATGATTCTGTATATTGGTGAATCATACATAACTCATAACTTTTACTCATCACTGTACAAATATAACTGGAACCCCAAAATTTAAAATTCCTTCCTTCTTATATTCTGAATCAATTAGAATTAACATACAGCAAGTAACACACCATGAAAGTCAACAACCATAATATATATTTCAACATCTAATAAATAATTCATAATTCTTTAAATAATTTGTACTTTCGATGATATCAACATCTCATAAATAATTTATATCTTTAAATAATTTGTACTTTCAATAATTTCTTTTAATAATTTATGTATTTAAAATGAAGTTACTAAAACAACTGTGCCATATGCCAAGATTGAAATAAGCTACTAAGGGATGTACTGTAGGTACAATTTCGACTATCTGTTCTTTATTTAAGCCTGTTTTTCAAAAGGTGAATTTATTCGCGCAAATCAAAAGCATTGGTCATTCACATTTCTATCAGAGATTTTTCGCTTCATTTTCATCAGGATAATCACTACTGTAGATGAATAGGAAAGAATGATTGTAATGTGGAAAAAGCTATGTAATATAATTGTGTGTTATCCTGTTATGTTGTTATCAGTTGTAAAATTATGTGATTCCTGAAGATGACCTACTGTAAATTACAGTCAAATTATTTAATTCCAATATGACTGATAGAATGTACTTCTGTGCTTAGAGTTTGTTTGATAATTTCTTTGCATTGTGGTACAATAAATGTTCAAATGAGCACAACAATATGTATACAATTTTTGGGCCTCTTTTGACATGCATCACATGTTACTTAAACCATTGAGGTATTATTGAGAAGGGGATCACTCGGTAACAGATCCTTTTGACGCGATAAACAAATGTGTTCCCCGCATTTGGATCGCGCCCGGGCGTATTATCTTATCATTAACATTCTTTTGTTAGCAACAACTGGGCAACGACATGCTTTTCTATGATTCACACAGCAGTTTTGCGATAAAGTGTTTGATTTTAGCCCATGAAATAAAAATTAACAATATTCCCCCGATCGGATTTTTTTCGGCCTTTTGGTATGTTATTATGTATACATTTCAAGAACAGATTCCGCAAAATATTTCTGTTACAATTAACTCTGTGTTCATTATAATTTTGTCTTAAGATTGATTGGTTTTCGACCATAATGCTAAGGCATCTTTCTTGAAAGATGAACACATTAGCTTCAAGGTTGAAACAATTGTGCAGCTGTGGTGATTGACTGTAAGTAGTGCGCATTGAGAAAAAAAGGTGCTCTCCATTTCTCCATGTTCCATTTTTTGGTAAATTAAGCCTGCTGAGCATTTGGTGGCGGGGAACACATTAGACTTCAAAGGCATCACGCAAATGTTCTCCAGGTGTTCCTATTTTTAGGTGTTATAATTTATTCTAGTAATTTTTTTATGTGATATCTCTATGTATGTATTTTTAATGTTTTGACCTTTCTTGGTGCAATTTTGTATATACTGTAATATTTTTACACTTTTTTATTTTGTAAATACGCTTATTCAGCATTTGGCTGCATTTTTTATATTTCTCTATTATACCTGAATAAATAAATAAATACATAAAAATACAAAACGGTAACTCACAATGCATCCGCTAGTTCTCGGTGAATCTTCATATAGGTTTGAGTGTTGAATGTTGTCTGAATGTACGTCAACGCCATACGCAGCGCTTCAACTTTCAATGACGGGCAATGCTCACTTATAAACAGCAAACGGTTAACTTTAGCCAGGCCAGTGTAACTACTTGCATACATGTCTAAATCCTGCATTGTAAACAAAGAAGGAATTGAAATAAAAGAATTTATAAGATTGTAGAAAATGATGAATAAGAGTTTTTTTTAACGCTGCAAAAAGGCAACACATGGTACAATACAAAGGACTGGAACTGCAATTGATCCTGGGTCTGATTCAGTGACAGAGATTCAAAACAAGGGGTCTAAAGTCCCCAATGGGTCCAAAAGTCCACAAAGTCTAGAGCCCCACCAAGAAGGAAAAGAAAAAGAAACATAAGAAAGAGAAATAAAAGACAAGGAAATATCTGAAAAGAAAAAGATAAGACAATGAAATAGTAATTGAGAATTTATATAGCACAAATTATAAAACAATGTTAAAATCAAATGCGCTTGAGACTGACAGTTATGATGTTTCCTTAAAAAATAATGTTTTGATGTTGGTTTTGAAAGTGGATATTGTAGAAGATTGCTTAAGATGTAATGGTAGAGAGTTCCAGAGAGTAGTACAGTAGCTGCAAATGAGAAAGATCTGTTGCCAATAATTTTTTTATTGGTTCAGGGAATAGATAGAAGGCATTGGTTGGAGGATCGAAGAAAAAGAGAAGCGGTATATTTGGGAAGGTAAGGTAATAAAATAGGAAGGAAAACTAATGATTTCTTGTGTGTGCCCAATTGAATTATAGTTGCAATAAACTTAACTAAACGTTCAATAATGACAAATTAACTTTAAGTTTTAAACAAAATTATTTATTTACATATTGATTCCATTATTCTGTGATGTCTGTGGTTCTTGTTTGTTCTCTATTGTTATTCTCTTTTAGATACTGCAACTTGAGCACCAATTTTGGTGGTGATGTTTGCATTTTACAAATCGTTATTATTTTATTAATTTATTAAAGAAAAAAATTTTTCAAGAATGATAGGCAGATAGATTTTCATTTGTTTTTTGTTGAGGACCTCTATGGAAACAAGCTTATAGAGCTTTCCAGTGCTGTCTATTTTGAATTAAATGTTTTTATTTTGTGTGTGTGTGTGTTTTTGTTCCTGTTGATGATTATGATGATTCTGTCTTTGTGATTTTGGAAAGCCATAAAAGGAGAACCCCTCTCTAACTTAAAAAATGCTCTTTCAAAGCAGTTATTACTCGACAAAATCATTGGCTTCTTCTCAACAAAGGGGAGGGTGGGAGGGTGATTGGTAGGATCCCGAGTTTGTTCTCACTTCCTTACCAATGTAGGATTTTCAACAATAAATGGCTGCTCTTCGATAACTTCCTCAGCCTCTGGTTGGGCATCCACTTGCATCGGCTCACCTGGGCCCTGAAAAAAAAAATCTCACCATGACCATATATAGCCACATCATAAATATATATGGGCACATCATGACTATATATGGGCACATCATGACCATATATAGCCACATCATGACTATATACGGACACATCATGACTATATATAGGCACATCATGACCATATATAGCCACATCATGACTATATATGGGCACATCATGACCATATATAGTCACATCATGACTATATATGGGCATACAACAGTCTTTGTCAAGGAAAATTTGATAGTGTGGACAGTATTGCCAGTTTGACTCATTTAAACATCTTTTAAGCCCATTTACTACAAATAAGCTACAGCCAACAACAAACTGAGAAACCAAAAAAAGGCAATAGTTGGAACATTATCTCAAATCAATTTTTTGAATTGTTAAAAATTAATGTACAGTAGAATCCCCCGTTTGGCCCTGGGATACCTCTACTACTACTAGATCTACTACTACTGTAGGTGTAGCCTACTATATGCCTAGTAGCTAGGCAAAAAATAGTAATTTTGGTTTTACACACACACACACACACAAAATGTAAATTCAATTAAAAAAAAGAAATAGGAAGAAGGCTGCCAAAGGCAAAAGACCTGAGAAGATAAGCTCATTACATTATATTATTTAGGCCTACACAGTCATAATGAAAAAAAAAAGGAATGCTGAGGCATAAAAAAAAAATTGTTTCGGGATAGCTTGAACTGAATAAAAAGAAACAAAATCTGTCTAGGGCCTAGGCCCTGTGTGATAATGCATCATGGCTAGGCTGGCATAGCTTACTAGCTAGGTAGCCTAGTAGGGCTAGGCCTAGGCCTATAGTCTATTGTTGATCCCACAACAATACAATTATTATTACAAGCAAGCAAGCAACCAATCAGCAAGTGAAATTTGCTGGTGAAGCCTTGCACACACACACCCTAGCCTAGTCTATTAATCCTACAAGGGAGTTAATAATCCTACCGATCAGCAAGTAAAATTTGCTGGGTAGGCATAGGCCTAGACCTAGCGCACAAACACCCAAACCTATTTAGCGCCCAGCGGCGGTACCCACTCATTCGGACCAGGCGAAGCCTAGCTTTGAACGGTGCTAGGTAGGCTAGGCCCTAGGCCTAGGATTTACGTGCAGATTTCATGATAAAAATAGGATACGTTACCTGCAGAAATAACTGCTGATGAAGGGGTAAAGGCAAGGGCATTTTCTCTAGCTCTCCTCTTCGCGAAGTAACTGAAACAATCACGCTGATAACCTTTCTAATGGCATCAAATATAAAGACCATGAAGCCGCCCGCACATTTTTGATATGCGTTTACAATTCTGGCTTAACGCGTTATAAATATCATTAATAACACTAAAGCGTTTAGTTGAAATCTCTAAAACGCGTTACGGTAAAGGTCTAAGAGGGCGCACTTTCATTTCTTTTGATATAATTTGTACCATCAATCATCATTATTATCTGTCATCCCCATGTCATCACCAGCAACATCATCGTTGTCAACGATGTTGTTGCATAGTTACCAACCGTCTCGCATCGTGCGGGACGGTCCCGCATTTCAAAGTGATTTTGGATGAAACACGCATTTTGCAGAAACACATGCGTGATCCTAAATTTGTCACGCATTTTACACAAGTCTATGCGTGATAACGATTTGTCACAAATTCAGGGGAAAAAACCGAAAAGGTCCAGATTAATCTCAGATAAGATAGTATAATACATACTCCAAGTATCGAAATGCACGCCATCGTGTCGGGATTCAATATTTCAACATTAATTATGTTATCATCAGGAATTGAAAATATTCAAATTAGATATCCCCAATTACTAGCCAATAGAAAAATTTGGGGAAAAAAATGGTTCGTGTGGGAATCGAACACACGACCTCCAGATTATCTAGCCAGATGGAAATTACTACAAATGCTATTAAGATGTGAGTTTGCGACGTCAGGAAATATCATAGGAGTGATTATGGTATTTGCCCTACCTGACGTGTTATCGTATACCGGTACTGAATTCTCAAATACTAGCCATTAATAAAATTTCAAAAAGGAAAAAAAATGATTTGGGTGGAATCGAAACCACGACCTCCTGGTTATTTAGCGAGATGAAAACCACAACAAATGCTATGAAGATGTGAGTTTGCCTAGGGAAATGAAATGTTCTTATTAAATATTCAAAAATAATTATTATCAATGAATATTGTTTTAAATCCGATTTATTTTTTAAAATCATGTAAAAAAAAGGTTATAAAAATATTCAAATTAGATTTCCCCAATTACTATCCAATAGATTTTTTTTTAATGGTTCGTGTGGGAATCAAACACACGACCTCCAGATTATCTATCCAGATGGAAGTTACTACAAATGCTATTAATATGTGAGTTTGCCTGTGCATTTCGATACTTGGAGTAGGCCTATGTATTATACTATCTTATCAGGGGAAAATGTATTTAAAATTAGAAGAAATTGGTTGTATTAAAACTATAAAAACGGTGATGCAGTAACTTTAGCCATGAGAGAGTACCGTATTTCCTTAAAGGCCCTACTTATTTCACTAACGAGTTACTAAAAACTGATCAGTAATGAAATGTTTGTGTAGGTCTACATAGTTCGGGTGCTCAAATTAAACATAGGCCTACATTGAAACTCAAATTGGCTTTATTATTAATATTTTTGTTAATGTACCTGTATTATCAACAAACACTCCCTAAAATCGTTTTAAAACAGCTTAAAAATGCTCAGATCGTCGGAGCGGCGGGGGTGGGGGGTGGTCTGTGGTTCCCCTGCCGCTTGGACCACCAGCCAACTGGTATAGTCACTCACGCATTTCAAATCACTCAGGTTGGTAACTACGCTGTTGTTTAATACCGTTCTCAAAGACATACCGGTACATGAGTGTTAGGTGACATTCATTCGATATCATTAAGCCTACTATCAGGGGTGGCGCCACTGAAGCGGTGGAGGGGAGAGGGCCTGGTGCAGTGGTACCCCGTCGGGAAGAACTCAAAAATCGATTAATTAAGCCTTCGAAACCCCTCAAACACCCGACCACGCCCAATTTTTGTCTTCGTGGATATTGCCACCCCCCCCCCCACCCACCACCTTTGCCTTTCAACTCTGGCGAGACCTTGGATCTTGGATACCCCGTCGGGAAAATCCTGGCGCCACCACTGCCTACTGTCACTTACATCATCACTCATCATGATATAATTTGATTTTTCTTCTTTTGGTTATACGGTACTGTTCTATATTCGATTGTTATCACACAGTGTTCAGCTTTGCATAGCTAGGGAGTTGTTATAGTGCCACTATAACCACTCCCTGGCATATAATTAAGTCTCAAAAATGTTACAGCTGGGATTGGAAGGCAAGCATCTTATCCACCAAGCTATTCAAATGTCCTCTGATAATTACTCTTTTTTAGTAGGCCTACTGATATTTTGAAACTGGATATCCTAAACTTTTGTTGCTGTTGTTTTGTCAAGATGTGTTTATACCGCAAAAAACCCAAACAAACAAAAAACAATAAAAAAAAAAAACAAAAAAAAAAATTTAAAAAACCGTGAGTGTTGTTGCCGTGGTTCATGATTTTATTTTACCATTAGGATTACCTATGAAAGAATATAAAGAAATTATATGTAGACCCTAACCATTAAACGTAATTTTTATTAAACGCTCGAACACGTGATAAAAGTAGGTCGGGAACCATGAGATTAAATAACCGTTTCAAATAAATTACATGTGTTAAAAAGAGAAGAAAATCTGCAGTTACAATCTAACATTACATTTCTAAAATCTTAAATATTGATCCGTTCAATTTCGATTCAGCTGAAATGTCATATCTCATAATCTCGATAAATTTACACATTTATTATTGAAAGACAATTTCATTATCCAGCTTTAAATTTTAAGCCACCAAAATGTTTAATTACAGTATATCTTCTAGACAATTCCTGATCTACGACTGGTAGAACCTTGTTGAGGCTGAATAAAGATTGTTTTTGCACATTTCATTCCAAGTTGCTAAGAGTCCATAACGTATGTACTGAACCAGAGAAATGTTGGTTTTCTATTAAAAGCATTTAGTCAAACCTACAGATTCTGAAACAGAACAAGATTGAGTCAAACTTTCATTCGTGTGTAGTTTTTACCAGGTCTTATTCTTTAAAATTTACTGTAGTAGGCCTATATGTGTTTCATGGGTTATATTTTTGGTGGTTTACAAGACGGCATAACTTAACTCACCATCTTTGCTGATGTCATCCAAAGATTATACATTTATTTTGATCCGTCTGATTCGCAGGATTTGCATTCCTGGTTATCCATCAACATGCTTCGGTTAAGCAGTAACACAATTCATTATTTATGGTTCCAATAATTGCTCTAATATATATTTTTCTTCCTTTTCGTTTTCTTTTTTAATCTGCTGCAAAGTTGAGAGATATCTGTTTCCATAGTGTTTGTCTACTTATTTTAAGTTACTTTGATCCACTGATTCACAGCGCTTTGCATTCATTTCTGGTTATACCTCAACATTCTTCGGGTAAACAGTGACACAACACAATTTTCATTATTTATGGTTCCAATAAAATTGCTCAATATCAATATTTTTTCTATTAATTCAATTCCATTATAATCCACTATGAAAGTCTTGTAAGTCTTGACGGAAATCTCACTAAGATTAACAGAATCAGTCAAGTAACCAAATTTATCAATTTTCTCCTCCGTATAAATTTGAAACAATGGCCGTAGCCTCCAGCTATTGGGACAGTTGGGACAGTCCCACACAATTTTTCTAATGGGTCCACAAAGAAGAGGTCCACATTTTAAAAATGGTCCAAATTATGTAATTTATGCATAAAATGGGTCCCCTTTTGAAAAATTGGTCCAGATTTCTCATGTTTAGCTTAAAATGGGTAAAATTTAAGAAAATAGGTCCCGATTTTTCATATTTTTGCGTAAAATGGGTCTACATTGTTTGAATTTACGCTTAAAGTGGGTCCACCCCGACATTCTCCCGCACTGTTTGAAAATCCTGGCTAAAGGCATTGCTTGCGGGAGATATGGTTGAATGAGCTTTCTTAACATACTAAATATAATTTTGCTACGCATGGTGATATCGATCGGCAATGGCTTGAGACAATTGATAATAAATACTGTAGTAGTAAAAACATACAAATATTATGAATTTGTGGGAGACGGGTTATTTTTCGGAAGATTCTTGCTTGCTTGCGGGAGTGCAGGAGACCGTCCCGATTTCCGTGAGACTCCCGCGACTTCCAGGAGACTTGAGACCTCTGAGAATCAATCTGAGTCAATCTATTTCTCGATGCAACATTAAAATGGCGAACAGATCTTTCAACTATGCTGCAAGTACACTCTGGATTTCACTACTATTCTCAAACAACCTCAGTCATGTACATTCAACATAAATAACTCTGAACAGTAGGTATATACAAACACGATGGCAACATATCTCTCACCTTTACAGCAAATACTCTAGAATTCCCTACCATTAGGCCTACTTCTCAAACAATCTCATGTACATTCAACATAAGTAGCTCAAAACAGATAGGTAGACTTGTCCAAATAAAACTTGTATTTAAAAAATATATATTTATCGGGTGCATCTCAATGTATGAATAATTTTTGTCACACTCAATAATGTAAATGCACATTTGAGCCGTTTGCATACTTATAAAACATCAAGTCGGCGGCGCGCAATCTTTGGAATATTTGAACATTTTAAAAGAAATGTTGTTAAACATGTCTTTAAGAAGGGCGATCCACCACACTGCACAGAAAATGGCCTTGTTTTTGGCCTCTCTTGCATTGGACATCTAAATCGGACCTTTACTGTATTTTCTCTCCCAATAAATTCAAGCATTAATAAATCAATATAAACTAATGGAAATTCATTTAGACGTCACGTTATATTTTAAAATATAGGAAAAATATTGCATAATATGCAGACTGTGTGAGCGCAATTAAATACAAATCAATTTGTACAAATGGCTCAAACTGTGTCAACAAACGATAATTGTCGAAAAAATAACCAAATCAATCTTAACTCAAAGAATATATGGCTGAAAAGCAATCAGAAATATTATAGCTTATGTATTTTTATGTGCTAAATTCATATGTATTATTATGAAGAATGGCATTGCAGCCTGTAAATCCTTAAAAATTACAATAAAAGTTTTCAATAATTTTAACGGTTCTACGTATTGATTTGTGGATTCTGAGTGATAAAGAATATTTGTAGAAGGTCATGTAAAAATAAATGTAGATTTTTGAATTTTTACAGAAATAGTAGTAGGCTTATTCTTTTGTGGGTCGTGGGGAGGTCGTGCCCCCCCCCCCCAGTCGCTCCCCCATTCGAAAACTTCGAAGCAAAAAAAATTAGGCTAGGCTTATGCTCAAGAAAATGGGTTAATGCTTTCTCAACTTCCCTTTATTAACGTTCATCAAAACACCATATTATATATTTATTCGTCCTTCATTTCACAGCAACTAATAATAATAATAATAATAATAATAATTATAATCAATATTTATAAAAATGGTAACTAAAATGGTCGCTGTCACACATAATAAAAAAAACACACACATAAATTATTCTAAGACTGTTGGTATGATTCGATGCCTCGAAAGGTCTAGCATAGTAATTTTCCTGGTGCATGCAGAATTGTTGATGTAAGCCTATTTAAAATAAAACTATCTATTGTTAAAATAATCCGGTAATTTTAATTAAGGCAAGAAATCGTAATCGACAATAAAAGTTTCTTTTTGTTCATTATGGTATTATCTCACTTCTTAAATACTGCGTTTAAGAGATATACGTTAACATATCTGTCACGGTTAACGTGTATTCGGGAATCTAAGAAGCAATGTTTTTCAGTGGGCGTGGCCACCGAAAATAAATTCCACGCCCCCTCATATTTTGGTCGCGCCCCCCCCCCGGTAGGACGGTCACGCATGAGTAATTCCGTACAAGTGTCACGTCGTCGAACAAACCGAAAACTCCCTTATAATAAATACTCAGGAAGTATAAATTTAGAAACACAAAAGTTTATTCAAACGGACATTTTTGATTACTCATGTAGCCTATTCATGTCAACACTTGACACAGAGGATTTTTTATCAGGGTTTTTACTTTGAGTCAAGAGAGAGAACAGACATTAAAACAAAATATTGCATACTACCCTATAGATGTTTCTTTAACCGTATGCATCTATAAAGGTGAAACCTAAAGTATCTATTATGAAGCATGAATGAATGTTATGAAGCTATCATTGCCGATGATGTCGTATTATTGTAAAATCAATCACACACTGTTATTTCCTGACAAAGGCAGGTGGTAGTCAGCGACTCAAACCTCAATCATAATATTTTATGTAAATTACCAAACGCTTCGAAGTCTGTTAATCCACACCTAACATCAAAACATGACAGGAAATGTACTGTTGTTTATGTTTATTCACTATACAATTTGGTGTTTACGAGAAGGAAAATAAAATATTGCACAGTAGATTGAAATCACTAGAATCTTTCAGTCAATAACGTGCACCATGGGGCAACAATTACTCATGCTCAAAATATATATATATATAATTTATACAAAAGAAACACAGTAACAAAAGCTAAATATCCGAGCGAAACATGAATCATACACATGAACGTATCTTAATAAATTCATTTTAATATGCATGCATATTCAACAGGTAATTGTAAACATGAAACATGACATTTCTCTATGAATAATTATACAGAGCGGTCGGCATCCTAGAAGTTCACCGGGGTCAATTCAACATAGACTATTGTATGTTATAATATAATACTGCTGTCGCCTGCAGGCGAGAAAACCGCCGCATACACCGTCATTTATGAGCATCTTCATCATATGTTCTACTTTACTTTCGTGCTAATTTCTGTATTACTATACAAAATGGCCCTGTTGCATAATTGTATTACCATCAATCAACGCATCGGATAAATTAGGCCTATTAATCATCGTTCCACTGACTCAATGATTATTACACAAGTGTAAAATAGCGTACGTACATAAAATTCGTCGATGATCGACGATAGCTGATGTGTTTGATATGTTTTATACAAAAAGTTACTTCTAAATGTGTGTATCCACACTAGCCTAATAATTACTGGAAACAACGCAGAATATTAGCATGTGGAGAAAAAAAATCAGTTAAAGTTCAAGTTTTATAACGTTTAAAATGGGAAGGGTATTGTTAGCATTGGTCATGGAGAGAAGAGTGAGGAAGGGTACTTAGTATTTTTATTGTTGCAGAAAATAAGCGGTAAAATTAACAGTTTGTTTAATGAGGAGGGGTTGGGAAGGAGGGCGAGGGAAGAAGGAAGTAATTTTTGTTTTGAGTTGGGTTTAACTTTTAGTTACTCTTTCAATTTGATGTGTCCTGTAATCATGTGCCTTTAAGTTTTGTGTTTCGGACGCACCTTTATTTTACAAAGTGTGCTGATGGAAGGGCTAGAAGGTAAAGTGGGTGGGGGGAGGTCTCGATGATCAGTTGAGGGGCGCTAACTCGCAAAATAAGGTTGATTTTTGGAGCAATTTTTGGAGGGGTGTGCGCATCCACCCCGCGCACCCTCTGGATACGCCACTGGTAGTAGGTCTGTGTTAATGTTGTAGACGTTGTAGTAAGCGACATAGAATAACAAATAACATCTTAAGTAAGAAGTGAAAAGAAGAGTACGTGTTAATAGTATGAACTGAAGTCACGCTCCACCTCTATGTCAACCATCTGTCAGAACAGTAACGTTATATCTACGTGTTTAAGTACCGACTTATTGCAAGTTAAGTTCAGTAAAAGCGTGCACAGGTCTAATGCATACTAAGGAACATCTGAAGAAAATGCTAAGGTAAAAATTTGCTCTGTAAAAAGGTAAAGCCCAGGGAGTTCTGGGTTCACCGGCCGCAGTGCCCATCCTCTATCCTTGCGTTTGACCCAGTCCACTGGTGTAATCATGGTATCATGCTGCAACAACTAGTATGTTTGTCTTCCCGATATATGCTGTCACCCATTTATAATTTGGGTAGCGAGAGAGAAGGAGGTGGGGGAGTCAAGTGGCATTTACATCGAGAATTTGGAGCCACATGTTTGCGCCACACGCTTCCAAGAGGAAGTATTGCTAGAGAAACAATTTGACGGCGATTTTGGTCGATTCTGGAAATTCTATTCTTCGTTTACTTTTAGGTCCATGTTTTAGCCTGATGTTATACTCCTCGTTGAATAGAATATCCAATATTTAAATGTTTTCATGAAATAGTCTTTTCCATTGCACTTATAAACATCCGTTGTATACAATAATAGTTTATATTTTGCAATGTCCTCGCCGCCTTCTGTATACATCAATACATGATACTTAATTGGCAGTTGTAAAATCAGTTTATCTTCTCCAGGGATTAATCAAATTCGATAAGGAGGTTGCTCATTCGTCATGACGTCGATGAAGACTGCATCAGAGGTAAGCATTCGTCTGGTGCCTTGAGGGCGTGCCATTGGGCAACAGGACATCGTTGAGACTCAAACATCCGACGCCAATGTGTGCTTTCAGACAGACCTATATGAAGGAGAGACAATCATTAACAGTAAGTGTTTAAAATTGATCAATAACAGCTGTCTATGAATGAACTATGAATACATATCACAATTACAATCAGCGCTGATATATATGTATATTTATATATATATAAATTAAGATAGTCGTTAACACCGTTACATTATATATAAATCATCAAAAAATAACTATTATGTCCTTTATTTGAGCATTGTATTTACCTTTCTTTGATGATTTATTGATAACATGGAAAATATTTCTAAAAATGTAGGCGGACAAGTACCTAAATAATATAAGAAATAAAAATACTGAAAGTAAAAGCTTACGAAAGCTAGAATTTTTTTGGAATTAATTTAATTAATGCTGAAATACTTTTTATTATCCATTTCAACTTATACCTGTCTCTTATACACATCTAGATGTGTATAAGAGACAGGTGTGTGTGTGTGTGTGTGTGTGTGTGGGTGGGTGTGTGTGTATGTATGTATGGTGATTCAAAACAACAATGTTGTAGGAAGTGATAACTTGATCTCGGTTAAAGTACATAATATACATACACTAAGCAAACGCGAAAGTATTATTATGTTTATGCCTATAGGTTTATTACTACAGTTTCAATAACTACGGAATAAACTAATATTCAGTATGGACAAATTTACAAACGAAATATCACCAACCTGAAGAATATTTGCCTAAGTTTATCTGACCTGTCACACCGTCTCTGCTTTTACAATTATAGTCCCATACAGATATGATAATGACTACCTTATCAAGAGATGTAGGAGAGACATTGAAGTAGAAACTCTCATTAAATACAGGGTCGATTGTGTTTTTTTTCGTTGATGATTTCTTAGTTTTAATTACTTTATCCGACAGCAGAAGTTGAATTTTAACAAAAGGATCTGAAAAACAAACCACAATAATAATAATGATCGACTTTATAGAGAGTAAATAGTAGAGGTGCGCTTAACATTGTTACCACACATGGAACACATACTCAGGTCCATGGGAAGAATTCCACCATGTTGCAGCTGTAATCAGCGCATTTGTGTTTAACCTATAGCCATGGTACCCACTTGTACTTCAGGGTGGAGAGAGAAAACCGTGGGTAAAGTACCTTGAATAAGGACACAATCGAAGTACACAGCGAGGGTTTGAACCTTTGACCCCAGGCTGAGAAGCAGAACCACAACCGGTGCGCCAAACCGTTTCTTTAAACAATGGTTGTCCAAAATATCCATCTCTTCATTTCTTTAAAATCCAAGCAGCAAAGAAAACTGCAATAAATATGGAATATAGGCCTACAATTTTTTTAATTATTAAAGTAGCAAGTACATCAAACGCGCGCTGTTTTTGTAAGCAAGAGCACTATATTAAAGAAAGACAGTAGGTATTTTCATTTTAACAGGCTGGTCTCCCTCCATTTAAATACCAATTTTGAGACGGGGTTTTCATGGTCTTTAACTGCTTTGATCTCTAATTAGAAGGATAAATGTAAAAGACATTTGTTGATTTGGGACCACAGAAGAGCGGTCTTTAATTGGAGGTGGTCTTTAATTGGAGGGGTCTTAAATTAGAGGGAGACCTTTTATAAAGTCTATTTATTCAAATACGAGCGAAAAACGTGAGAGTTCATGACCCGTTACCTTTAATATTATATGGCCCGGTACAATATAACAGTCAATTTTCTTAGAAAGCTGATAATTAATCATTATCTCTTGAGTATGTAGATAAAAGTTTATGTTTTACCAATTTCATTGGCATTTCCTATAAGGGCTTTTAAGACGGGGTTTGCATTATCGAATTATTATAGAGCAGAATAATGATATGCGCATACCTAAACTCTGCTCCTCTTTTCAATAAAAGTTATTTGTACTATCAAAGGTTTGTCATTTAGATTTCTCTATGAATACAGAATTATTCTTTTGCATATTCAATGACTGGATTTATGCTGCTTGCACCCCACCCCAAAAAAACCCGGATATTCCCCCGGTTATTTTCCCTTGGACATTTCCCCATGTAACCTTATTCCACCATGACTTATTCTTTTTACCCATTCTTTCTAGCTATTGAAACTTTAGCATAAAAATACTGATAACATGGAAAATATTTCTAAAAATGTAGGCGGACAAGTACCTAAATAATATAAGAAATAAAAATACTGAAAGTAAAAGCTTACGAAAGCTAGAATTTTTTTGGAATTAATTTAATTAATGCTGAAATACTTTTTATTATCCATTTCAACTTATACAATAATGCTATCTATGAATACATTTGCTTTTTATACTTATTATTTATTTTTTTATTATTAAATTAAATTTCTATTATTAATATTACTAAGCCTATTACTATTACACATAATAAGTTAAATAGCAATATCCTATAATACAGCACAATAATAAACTGCTGTGCAACAATAATTTTGTATGTTGTTAAAGTGTGTAAAAATAAAAACAAAATAAGAAAACGGAGCCGGGGCAAACACTTACTGAAAAAAAAAAGTGTACTAAGCTATTACTATTACCAATCGGCCTTTAGTCTTGCTACCTTACTGCTCTAATGAATATCGTAGGAATAACCACTTTCTTAAAATTAAGCTACCGCTCCACTTACCTGAACCCCCGTTTATGTCCCTTTGCAGTAGTTGTTTTATCTTGATAACATCCAGTTGGAGACGCTCTGCAAATGGTAGGTAGTTGAGGGATATCAAAATATCGCCTCGTCCAGGATTATTCTAAATTAGTAATGTAAGCAAATTCAGAAAGAATGGTTAGGAAACATTTTCAACTTCATCATATATATA